CACTTTATTTCATAGATATTTTTTCACAAATTCGTATTAAAGAAATCAAATTATTTTCAGAACTTTATCAAAAGATATTAAACGCATTTTCATACATTTATAAACCGCAAAATAATAAATTAGCGACTCTTCTACATTATCAAGGTTTCAAATTCGAAAACTTCGAACCTGAAATAGAAGAAGAAGAAATTCTGAATTTATATTTAACTGATTCTCCTTTATACTATATTGCATGGGATAAAGTTAATGATCTTAAAAGTAAATTCCCAAATCTTGATATTAATCAGGAGATTAATGATATCACACCACTTGATTGTGCAATTAAATATGGCTCAGAATTATGTTTCATTTACTTGAAAAATTTAGGAGCTCAATACACTGATTACTCCGAAAGATATGCTGTTCAAGGTGGAAATGAAAACATTTTTATGCAAATGATAGAAGATGGTAAATTATTTGATAAGATGATTAATACAGCATTGGATTATCGAAACTATGAAATTGCTGAGTACCTTAAATCAAATTTTCATCAAACATTTGATTCAATGGCAGAAAGCATGTATTTTTGTAATTATAGCGTTGCTTCGTGTTTGATTTCTAATGGGGCTGATATCAACAAAATTTATAATCTCTTTCTTTTCATATTCATCATTGTTTTATAGAATTCTCTTTCTTTTCATATTTCTCATTGTTTTATTGGGTTCTCTTTCTTTTCATATTAATCATTGTTTTATGGAATTCTCTTTCTTTTCATATTAATCATTGTTTTATATAATAATATTTCTTTTCATATTTCTCATTGTTTTATAGAATTCTCTTTCTTTTCATATTTCTCATTGTTTTATTGGGTTCTCTTTCTTTTCATATTAATCATTGTTTTATGGAATTCTCTTTCTTTTCATATTAATCATTGTTTTATATAATAATATTTCTTTTCATATTTCTCATTGTTTTATGGAATTCTCTTTCTTTTCATATTAATCATTGTTTTATGGAATTCTCTTTCTTTTCATATTCATCATTGTTTTATATAATAATATTTCTTTTCATATTTATCATTGTTTTATAGAATTCTCTTTCTTTTCATATTAATCATTGTTTTATGGAATTCTCTTTCTTTTCATATTAATCATTGTTTTATTACTTTCTCTTTCTTTTCATATTAATCATTGTTTTATATAATTCTCTTTCTTTTCATATTAATCATTGTTTTATAGAATTCTCTTTCTTTTCATATTAATCATTGTTTTATATAATAATATTTCTTTTCATATTTATCATTGTTTTATGAATTTCTCTCGATATTAATGAATGCCCTCTTAGTATTGCCATCAAAGCGAATTCAATAGAAATTGTCCAATTCCTAGTTGATCATGGTGCTGATGTTAACATGAAATTTATTCTCTTTCTTTTCACATTTATCGTTATTTGATAGAATTCTCTTTCTTTTCATATTAATCATTGTTTTATGGAATTCTCTTTCTTTTCATATTAATCATTGTTTTATATAATAATATTTCTTTTCATATTTATCATTGTTTTATGAATTTCTCTTTCTTTTCATATTAATCATTGTTTTATATAATAATATTTCTTTTCATATTTATCATTGTTTTATGAATTTCTCTCGATATTAATGAATGCCCTCTTAGTATTGCCATCAAAGCGAATTCAATAGAAATTGTCCAATTCCTAGTTGATCATGGTGCTGATGTTAACATGAAATTTATTCTCTTTCTTTTCACATTTATCGTTATTTGATAGAATTCTCTTTCTTTTCATATTAATCATTGTTTTATGGAATTCTCTTTCTTTTCATATTAATCATTGTTTTATGGAATTCTCTTTCTTTTCATATTAATCATTGTTTTATATAATTCTCTTTCTTTTCATATTAATCATTGTTTTATGAAATTCTCTTTCTTTTCATATTAATCATTGTTTTATATAATAATATTTCTTTTCATATTTATCATTGTTTTATGAATTTCTCTCGATATTAATGAATGCCCTCTTAGTATTGCCATCAAAGCGAATTCAATAGAAATTGTCCAATTCCTAGTTGATCATGGTGCTGATGTTAACATGAAACTTATTCTCTTTCTTTTCATATTAATCATTGTTTTATATAATAATATTTCTTTTCATATTTATCATTGTTTTATGAATTTCTCTTTCTTTTCATATTAATCATTGTTTTATGGAATTCTCTTTCTTTTCATATTTCTCATTGTTTTATATAATAATATTTCTTTTCATATTAATCATTGTTTTATATAATAATATTTCTTTTCATATTTATCATTGTTTTATGAATTTCTCTTTCTTTTCATATTAATCATTGTTTTATGGAATTCTCTTTCTTTTCATATTTATCATTGTTTTATGAATTTCTCTCGATATTAATGAATGCCCTCTTAGTATTGCCATCAAAGCGAATTCAATAGAAATTGTCCAATTCCTAGTTGATCATGGTGCTGATGTTAACATGAAATTTATTCTCTTTCTTTTCACATTTATCGTTATTTGATAGAATTCTCTTTCTTTTCATATTAATCATTGTTTTATGGAATTCTCTTTCTTTTCATATTAATCATTGTTTTATATAATTCTCTTTCTTTTCATATTAATCATTGTTTTATGAAATTCTCTTTCTTTTCATATTAATCATTGTTTTATAACATTCCCTTTCTTTACATATTTATCATTGTTTTATGAATTTCTCTCGATATTAATGAATGCCCTCTTAGTATTGCCATCAAAGCGAATTCAATAGAAATTGTCCAATTCCTAGTTGATCATGGTGCTGATGTTAACATGAAACTTATTCTCTTTCTTTTCATATTAATCATTGTTTTATATAATAATATTTCTTTTCATATTTATCATTGTTTTATGAATTTTCTTTCTTTTCATATTAATCATTGTTTTATGGAATTCTCTTTCTTTTCATATTTCTCATTGTTTTATATAATAATATTTCTTTTCATATTAATCATTGTTTTATATAATAATATTTCTTTTCATATTTATCATTGTTTTATGAATTTCTCTTTCTTTTCATATTAATCATTGTTTTATGGAATTCTCTTTCTTTTCATATTTCTCATTGTTTTATATAATAATATTTCTTTTCATATTTATCATTGTTTTATGAATTTCTCTCGATATTAATGAATGCCCTCTTAGTATTGCCATCAAAGCGAATTCAATAGAAATTGTCCAATTCCTAGTTGATCATGGTGCTGATGTTAACATGAAATTTATTCTCTTTCTTTTCACATTTATCGTTATTTGATAGAATTCTCTTTCTTTTCATATTAATCATTGTTTTATGGAATTCTCTTTCTTTTCATATTAATCATTGTTTTATATAATTCTCTTTCTTTTCATATTAATCATTGTTTTATGGAATTCTCTTTCTTTTCATATTAATCATTGTTTTATGGAATTCTCTTTCTTTTCATATTAATCATTGTTTTATATAATAATATTTCTTTTCATATTTATCATTGTTTTATTACTTTCTCTTTCTTTTCATATTAATCATTGTTTTATATAATAATATTTCTTTTCATATTTATCATTGTTTTATGAATTTCTCTTTCTTTTCATATTAATCATTGTTTTATGGAATTCTCTTTCTTTTCATATTTCTCATTGTTTTATATAATAATATTTCTTTTCATATTTATCATTGTTTTATATAATAATATTTCTTTTCATATTTATCATTGTTTTATGAATTTCTCTTTCTTTTCATATTAATCATTGTTTTATATAATTCTCTTTCTTTTCATATTAATCATTGTTTTATGGAATTCTCTTTCTTTTCATATTAATCATTGTTTTATGGAATTCTCTTTCTTTTCATATTAATCATTGTTTTATATAATAATATTTCTTTTCATATTTATCATTGTTTTATGAATTTCTCTCGATATTAATGAATGCCCTCTTAGTATTGCCATCAAAGCGAATTCAATAGAAATTGTCCAATTCCTAGTTGATCATGGTGCTGATGTTAACATGAAATTTATTCTCTTTCTTTTCACATTTATCGTTATTTGATAGAATTCTCTTTCTTTTCATATTAATCATTGTTTTATAGAATTCTCTTTCTTTTCATATTAATCATTGTTTTATTGGGTTCTCTTTCTTTTCATATTAATCATTGTTTTATAGAATTCTCTTTCTTTTCATATTCATCATTGTTTTATAGAATTCTCTTTCTTTTCATATTTATCATTGTTTTATAGAATTCTCTTTCTTTTCATATTAATCATTGTTTTATTACTTTCTCTTTCTTTTCATATTAATCATTGTTTTATATAATAATATTTCTTTTCATATTTATCATTGTTTTATGACATTCTCTTTCTTTTCATATTAATCATTGTTTTATAGAATTCTCTTTCTTTTCATATTAATCATTGTTTTATGGAATTCTCTTTCTTTTCATATTCATCATTGTTTTATATTCTCTTTCTTTTCATATTAATCATTGTTTTATATAATCATATTTCTTTTCATATTTATCATTGTTTTATGAATTTCTCTCGATATTAATGAATGCCCTCTTAGTATTGCCATCGATGTTAAAGCAACAAACATTTTCAAATTCTTAGTTGAACATGGTGCTACAAATGACTAATAATTCTTTTTCCAACAACATTATTTTATATCGAAAAAAGCTATAGTAATGATGTTATTATTTAAGCATAAACATCTCATAATAATTTAATGTTAATTTATTGTATTAATACACTTTTCCATTTCAATTAATATCAGGGAATTAAAGATATATTTTGGATCGATTTTATGAATGAAATCCAAATATCAACTTTAAATGTATTGGATTGCATTAGAGATTTCGTTTTTTGATGATGACAACCGTTTTCAGGAAAGTTGTTGGAAGAAAGAGCAAAATTACTAAATGCCATCATATGAAAAATGATAAAATTAATGAATTGAAATAAAAAGTGCATTATTTTTTTAATATGCCATTCCTATTTCACTCCGTTTTTGTGTCGAATTTATTGACAAAGGCTGTGACCATCAGTAGTACACCAATTATTAATGGTTCAACAATGACCATTACGAGATATAGTGATTGGAACAATAAAGTTGGTGAATTAATTGAGCAAAACAATATTGACACAGTAATTATCAGACCCGAAACACAGATGTTCAACACAATTACAGAAATCGATGGCTTAAAAGTTTCAACTTTCATCATTGATAATCTTTTTGTCACAACTTTTGATGAGAATGTATTCAAGGAAAATAAGTTTATCAAGACAGTTCAATTAACAGATTCAGTTACTGAAATCTCAGATTCATGCTTTGAAGACTCTACACTCGAGACAATTAATCTTGATCGTGTAACTAAGTATGGAGGAAGTGTTTTCAAAGGCTGCCTTAACTTAAAGAGTCTCTCAATAAATGCTGACACCATACCAAGTAGCTTTGCCCGTGGCTGCTATCAGTTGACATCAGTCAAATTCAATAAAGAAAAGACAACAATCTTAAACACCGCTTTCGCATCCTGCATTTCACTTACAGAGATCGATCTTACAAACGTTGTCTCCGTTGGCGATGGTGCTTTCAAAGATACTGAAATCACAAAAATTCATATCCCACAACAGTTACAATCCATTGGAGCAAATGGCTTCTATCGTTCCAAAATTACCGAAATAACAATTGATGATCGTAACAACCTCTACTTGGACATCGGAAGTGGTGCATTTGCTTATACAATGCTCAAAGAAGTCAAAATCCAGAATACGTCACTTTAGCATCTGGTGCTTTCCAGAATAACCCATATTTAACAAAAGTTGAAGTATTAGGTGACTTAAACGCTTTGCCAGATTATTGTTTCTGCCATTGCCACTTACTCAAAACCGTAACCACCAAAAAGGTAACAACAATTGGAGTTCAAGCCTTCTACAATGACAAAGAATTGGCTGACTTCACAGTCGCCGATTTACAGGCAATTGGCGACCAGGCTTTCGAATTTTGTGGCAATTTGAAGATGACAATTCCAGCAACAACTCTTACAATTGGAAACTTCGCTTTCGGATACACTAAATCCGTGAAAATAGCAGAAGGAAGCCTGTTAAAGTCTGTCGGACAATACGCTTTCGTCGGCAGCCAAATCGATGAAGTTGTTGTCTCATTCGCAGTTGATATCGGTTCTTTCCAGGGTTGTCATAAACTTACAAAAGTGACAATCACTTCACCTTGCAACAAAATTGCCTCATATTGCTTCTGCAACTGCACAAACATTAACACACTCATTATCCAAGGTGGATTAGAATCAATTGACAGCTTTGCTTTCTCATCATGCTTCGGATTGAGAAATATTGATATTTCCAATGTTTCTGTTTTGAATTCTGACAGTTTCTCATTTGTCGAAATTGAGAAAGTCAAAATGTCAAATTGTGTCATTGCCAACAATGCGTTTTACGGATCATCATCTATTACCCAAATCACATTGACAAAAGAAACAAAATCATTTGATGCAACACCATTTTCTCAATTCAAGATCAAAAATGTTATTTTAGAAGATGGCAACAAGTATTTGACAGTTAAAGATGGTTCCTTTGTTTACTACAATTCTTCAACATTGGCATTCGCTTTGCCAGATGCTAAATCATTCACAGTTCCAGATTATTGCAAAGGAATCCAACATGGAGCATTTTCCATTGCAAGAAAACTCACAAAAATTGTCTTTGCAAATAAGATTGACTTAACACAAGTTAATTTGCAGGATTCTGCTTACATTTATCAAGTTACTTTCTCAATCAATGATGACAATTTGACAATTCCAAAAGAATTCTTTGCAAATTGTCAAAATCTTGAAAAAGTAATTTTCGAAACAAAGATAAAGACAATTCCTGAAAATTGTTTCGCAAATTGCATCAATTTGTACCAAGTTGTTTTACCAACAACATGCGAAACAATCGAAACACGCGCTTTCTATAATTGCCAATCACTTTCAAAGGTTGACATTTCAAAGGTAACTTCAATTTACCCAGAAACATTCATGAACAGTGGAATTTCTAATTTGAAGTTTGATAACTGTCACTTTTTGAACACATCACTTTTCAAGAATTGTTTCAATTTGAAGACCTTTGATTTCACAGGAATTATCTATGTTTCCAACAATTGCTTCGAGAACTCATCACTCAAAACAATTACATTAGATGAAAGAAGTTTCATTGAAGACGAAGCATTCAAAGATTGCCATCTTTTGACAAAAGCTGATTTGAGTTTAATTACATCCATTCCAAAGGGCTGCTTCTTGAACTGCATCAAATTAAGTGAAGTTGTCATGAGACATTCTGTTTTAACCATTGGTGAAGAAGCGTTTGCAAACACTTCACTCGTGGAAGTTGTTATTCCAGACAGAGTTTCATTTATAGGAAAGAGAGCATTCAGAGATACTCTTTCTCTTAAGACATTGACATTAGGAAAGGGAATTACAACACTCACATGGGAAGATGCATTATTCGTTCGTTCTAATGTCGAAAAAATCATCATCGACAAAGATTGCAAGATCATTGAAAGGATGCTTTCGAATTGAATCCAAATCTCAAGATCGAATTCAAGGACAACAGATTCTTCTCATTCATTGATAATTTCATTGTCAACACATTGACATCAACATTATTGACATCTGTTGGTAAATTAGAGCCATTCATCAAGATCCCAACAACAATTGATTTCGTAAGTTTGGCAGGAATCAAACACGAAGAGTTCATTGATGAATTCCACCAGATCTACACAAGATACACTGACATTTCACAGACATTTGTAACAAGACCAGACAGAGCACAAATCATTGAAGTCCCAGAAACAGTCAAACAGATACAAGACAAACCAACAGGATACATTAATTACAAGAGATTATTCTACAATGGAACATACATGCAAGAAATGAGTGTTCCTCAAGCTGACGAAAGAATTGCAACACTTAGATATAACTTCCACAGTTATACACAACAAATTATATAATTGGAGATTCTTGCTCTGATAACTTGGATTATGATGAATTCAAGTGGAGACATGTTTTGGGAATGTCTTCATTAGAGAAAGGAATGATTGCTGCTGTTTCTATCGCTGGAGTTGCCCTTATCGTTTCTTTGATCTTATTATTACTTATTGTCTTCAAGATGAAACGACACGGAAATTACGAAGCAGTTTCAATGCAGACAATTCTCGCTTCTCAGCCAGAAAAAGTCTAAATAAACATTTGGATTTTTCTTAATTTTTCATTATTTTGTATTTTGTGTAATTTGAAATATTATGACTTTGCAAGATAGAATATGATATAGATAATTACAATCAATACTATTCTATAGGGTGTCCAAAGGTGTGTTTAGCACAAACCTGAATACTGCGAATAGAAATAAACAAGTTACATATATATAAAGTTTATTTAAATATAATCACCATTGGATTCAATCACGCGTTCGCAGCGATCGATCCAGGCTTGAAAGACACGCTTTAAATCATCATGAGAAAATTGCTCAAATTGCTCTCTTACAAAATTTTCAAGATCATCTGGACTCGCGAATTCGCGTCCTTCAGCTCTCTTTTTTAGCGTGCCGAATAAATAAAAGTCAGAGGGTGCAATATCAGGTGAATAAATTGGGTTTGGAACAACTTTGACATTGTTTTCCACCAAGTAATTCATTACCTTATGACTTTTGTGAACTCTTGAATTATCAAATTGAATTGCAAACTTTTGTTTTTGTTGTTTGGATTTCTCAAACTCATCAGAATTGATAATTTGAGTAAGAACATTGTCAATTAGATACTGAACATTCATCGTATTAGGTTTTTGAAGAATATCAATTGCGATGATGCCATTCACGCCCCAAAAAACCGACAACATCATCATTGGTGTGTCAATTTTTTTCTTCGGGAATGTTTGCGGATTTTCATCCTTCGGGATCCACATGATTTTGGCTTCTGTTGCATATTGAAACCAAGACTCGTCCCCTGTTACTAAAAAGCGAAACTTCTTGGATTGATACGCACCCAATATAGAGAGGAGCTCTTTCGAAGATTGGACTCTAGATTTTTTTTGAACTGAATTAAGGTTGTGCGGAACCCAACGTGTATACGCTAGTTTGTAGTTCAAATAATTGTGCAGATAATAACTGACTGTTGTACGTGGTATCTTTGTCATCTCCTCTATCCTTCTGAGTGATGCTCTTGGGGCTTCATCTAGCGCTTGAAGAATTGGTTTGATTTTTCTTTGATCCGGAGTTAGTATGGTTATCTTGGGTACGGCGGCACTGCGTTCCACCTTACCCAACATAACAGTTTGACACTTTACAAAACCGTTAACGTATATTTTACAACACAAACGACAATACTAACTTAACCTTAAATATTTACAAAACCGCCAACCACTTCACCTCACTAACGACTTCACTAACGACTTCACTAATGAAAAATAAACGTTCTCACTAACGTTCCCACTAATGTTCTCATTTACAAAAGTATTGCAGCGCTTCCCATTGCTGTGCTTCACACAATAGTTCATATTCTTCAGTATCGCTGCTGTCACTCCAATCGTCAGAGTCAAAGTCACTGTCAAAATAAATGTTAGTAAGTTTTGACAAAGCTAATGAAACACGCTTACCGTTTGTATCTATTGCTTTTATATATCTCCCATTATGTTTGTTGTCATAAACGCTCAAACTAACTTTACCCTTTCTCCCTCGTATCTGATAGAATGTATTTTCACGAGGAACGAAGAACAAATTCTTGAACTCATGACCGTTGTAGTTTGTTATCTCAATAGTTTTCGTCATTTATATAAAAATAAAATAAAAATAATTTTAAAAATAAACTTAAAATTAATGATATCACCACTCCCACACGTATGAAAACATACATTTAAATTTAGGTGAAGTGGTGAGATCTCACCTGTTTTTTCACCTCTTTTTTCACCCTGTTGAATTCATTGCTTTATAACTCTCTTCCTTTCTCCAACTCTTCTAGCTTCTTCTTAAGTTCAGCAATGTTGTCCTCATGAAGTTTAATCTTCCTTAATATACCTTCTTTATCTAATGGTTGCTTTATCTTTCTAAACTGAACTCTACCATCCTTCATAGTATGAATGTAAAAACCTTCTGGAATAGTTCCTGATTTAATGTATTCTACCAAGAACTTTTGTTTCATTGCTTCAGTGACTTTATTTGTCATTTCAATCAAATAAAAATTTTAATATTAAATAAAAATAACGTTATTTTTTCAGTAAGGAAACGCAGGAGTTTTACGATTTATTTGAGGAGTAGGTTCTGGTTTAAATGTTGGAGTCGGTTTAGGA